AATGTGATAAATGAGCTTGTCTTTTACATATTCAATGATAAGAGATTTCATGCTTGGCATATAGCTATGGATAATGTGTGCATTATGAAAAGGGACAATATCCATGTAATCGGCTCAAGTACTTTTCTCTTTTTGCACCTTGTGTAAATTTGGATATATTAATTGCTACTACATGTTCTCATCATAAGTACTTACTAAGGGTTAAACCCTTTTAATGCCCGGCCCCTCTGATTATCCGCTCCTTCATGAGTCTATGTAGTATATGAATGCTAACTGTTTGGTTTTTTTTTTGTTATGGAAGCTAAATGAATGCTGAAAATCTATCTATACTTTTATACTACTATTTACATTGATCATTTTTCTTTTGTGCCTTAGAATAATTTCTCCATTGTTTTACAATGAATGTACATGTATCTTATGGCATACTTATCCAAATTATTTTTTAGTTGCTTATGACATAAATTGATTTAGCATATAGGCTGCATAGAGTTAATGTAACTTTTAAAATAATATCCTTATTAGATTTTTTTTTTTTTTAAATGTTGATCTAAATCAAATAATGTTGTATATGAAATATGTGGAGGGTTGCAGAGGTTATCCAGGCAAAATAAATGATATTTTGGGTGCACTGAACTAGAGAAATGTTATTGGTTTCTTTGTGATTGCTGCTCATTTCACCCTGAGAAAGCATTATGCAGAGAAGCAATGAGTGGTGGTGGTAAACTATGTATCGGCTGCTCACTCTCCCTATTATAGTCGCCCATTGCTGACTTGAATTGGTATGACTAAGGGATAGTTACATACCTGTCTTAGACATATCTCCAGTGGGGACTGGGCTGTAGGAAATTATGGATCCTCATTCAGTGTTAAACCACTTACAATGGTTTCAAAATGAATGGATGGATAGCGTCAGGGGACTCTAGGAACTACTCTAGGAGGAACTACTTCAGAAAAAATTGTTATAGTGTCTAGAGTGTCCCTTTACAGAGAGTGCTAATTGCTTTATTTTAGAAATACAGTTTATTTGTTTTGTTCTGTTAAACTATAGATAGATATGTAAAGGGGGATAATATAGATCAACTTTGCTTTTCATCAAAATCCATGCTGAAGCGGCTTAGTATGACATAATAACAATAAACATGTCTTGCAACCTTTTTGCTAGTAGCTTAGCAATATGTAGCTGCAACAGTCAATTTTTTTCCCAAGACTGATACAGTATAAAATATACTTCCATCACATGCCCTTGGCATATTTTAAATAAAAATACTATGGTTATATGTTTGTAAAGAGTATTTAGCAATGTTGGTTCTCGTTTATTCTATTATCCTGCAATTATTCTGCACCAAAAAATTATTTAATCATTTCTATATTTTAATATCTCTATGGATCCAAAACATATACTTGTTTCAGAATATTTTTATCTATATTTCTATTTTCTTACCACAACGCTTCTATCCAATGGTTCCGTAGCACAATGTTGTTTTGCAATGATAGTAGCATTTCTACGCTGGCACAAAAATCCTTAATAACCCACTCGACCGATGGTATGTAGCACAGTTGTCTATAAAGTGCAATAGTTGTTCGAAAACTAAATTGCTGTATATGAACTAAGCAGTCTAATATAGAAAGCACACACCTCTCAAAATGTATGAATCCTTTTAGGCAATACAGTCTTCCACCATCTTCATCATGAACCATTAATTATTAGAAATTTGTATCTTGACCACCATTGACTAAACATTTGGCAGAGATTGTGCAAAATCTAGCCTAGCAGTAATTGTACAGTTCATGGCCTACTTGGAGCAACTACTGTATGGGGAAAAAAAAAGACATGAGAGAAATGCTTTGCATGTGAATGAACAGTTTATGATCCAGTTTTATGCAGTATTTAGTGATATCAATGGTATGTGTTTAATAGTTTGGTTTTGCTACCTAAACATTAGCCAAATGAGATGTAAATATTTTTAAATAGTAAGGAGGTATAATGTAATGTACTGATAATTATAGGTACTCTATTTCAATGTGCTCAAGTACAGTATATTTTTCCCTTAAGAAGCCCAAATGTCAACCGTAAACTGTGGCATAGCAGTGATGATGTTGCTGTTTTTGTGCACACGCTGTATTTCTATCTACAAGCCGAAGAATGAAAGTATGCTTAATAACTATATTTATCAATACATTTTATGGGAGAATTACAAACTGGAGAGGAAATGTAATAAGACTTGCTGCTGTAAATTATTCTTTTTGGCATGTACTCTGTTGTTAAATAAACATTTCTTGAAAAGAGATGAAAGTTGCAGTTTTCATAACTAAGAAAACCTTGTCATCTCCATTGGTTCCAAAAATGTTGTGGTACTAGATTTGTGTAGCACACGTCCCATCCATGGACCCATAATAAAAATGTCTTTTTGGATAAATAAGGTATCTCCTATAGGTCTGCTTAACAAAGGGGTGAAGCTATCAAAATATTCCTTCATGTGCTAGCAATGTAAGTAGAAACTTGGGTCTTACTGTGTGTGAGAAGATACTGGCATGATGCAAAATGACGTGCCATATGACCTGGGTAATGGAAATATCCATAGAAGGATACATTTATTATCAAAGTTGCTCAAATAGTTTTTGACTCCATTTTAGTTTTCTTCCTTAATCTTTATACAAGACTTTCAAAGCAAATAAGAAATATACACCTAAAAGGTTAATATGAACAATAAAAGAAAAAAAAAATATAGAGAGAGGAATTGCAAGGTTGCACTTTCTTGAAAACCTGAGAAAAGCATAGAATAATTTGTTGGCTTTATTTATGTAATGAAGCAAAGCTGCCAGGATGATCACAGTCAAAACCTTAGGTTGGGAAATGGTATGGTACTGCACAATCTGCTCTCGACCCGTATGAGGTCTGTAGGAGAGACTATAAAGTATCGGGAAATAGATGTTCAGGAAAGGTCTTAAAGAGAATATCTGGGTGAGAATGGACAGAAAAAAAGGGCAAGAGAGTGAAAGGCACACAAGGCCACATGGATTTGAATTAAAAACAGAGACCACTTGGTCAGGAGACTCATATGGGACAAGACCATTTGTCAGGAGAAATAGGTCTGTTGGGTCATAATGTGCAATAACATAAGCCAGAGGGCAGTATATTTAGTTATCATATAAGACAGCTGACAGCAGTTTGTTGAACTGCTTTGTGCTGAAGTCTGTCATTTTCTTTTTTTTTTTATAAAACTGATGATTTGAAAGGTCTTTTTTGTCATATACCCTCCCAAAAAAATCCACACAGAAAAATTAATACATTTTCTTTTGGAGTATATCAACTAAAAAGTAAAATAAAATACAAAATTCACTAATAAGCTCCTTTAAAATTCCTGAAAGACCACACACATTACAGTACAGTGCATCAATCACACACACAGGACTCAATATAGTATATACATGTTCAGAATAAAAATGTTTTTTTAGTACAGGGGTCTGATTGTCATCTCTGAAAGTTGAGTAATATTCAACTGTTTCCAGTGTTTTAAATTAAATTGAAATGTCAAGTTAAAAAAAATAAAATAGAACAATGCAATAATGATACTTTCAATGAAACAGATAGCCAGGGAATCATCAGAGTTGTAGTTCAGCAACATCTGGGGGGCCGCAGGTTGGACAGCCCTGTTCTAGAGGGAATGATGAGGCAACACCTGTCTTAAAATAACTCTGGAATGTAACTCGTAGAGCACTTAGCCAGGTGTTGTATCATACATGTTGCATGCAAGCACCTACACCCTCAGAAATTAACTTTTCCATCTCCTCTAACTTCATTACTTCTAACATAGTTCTTAACAGAACTACAAGCACAATACCTTCTTCTCAGACTATCCTAATGTCTAAACTAATCATTGTTAAATTCCCATGTTATCCTCTAAAATTTCTTCTGGAAAGTTATTGTATACAGCCGCCAGCTTGTGGAAGCAATAGTTTCTCCTGGAACAATGCACTTTCTTTGTGGTAGCATGAAAGGGCTTGTCTAAAGACAAATTGATTTCTTCTAGTTAAAGGTCAAGATGAAACATGTATATAGAAGGAAATATTGAAATAATGGTTACATTTCTTCTTTCCACAGTAGTGTGTAACAATGGTTTCGCTCATTCCCTGAGTGTCTTCCAATTTATTTAACTTTCACAGAACATTAAGACAGGATATGTGGATAATTAATGTGTTTTAAAGGCACACTAACATATAAATAAAAGGTTTATAGTCACCAGAACAACAACAGCTAATTGAATTTGTTCTGGTGAGTAGAATCATTTCCTTTAGGCTTTTTGCTTTTCAGAGAAAATGCAGTGTTTACATTACAGCCTAGTGATAACTCCACTGACCACTCTTCAGATAGCTGTTAGAGATTCTTCCTGGGTCATGGCTGCCTAAAACGCATCCAAACATTCAGTGTCTCCACCCTCTGCATGCAGACACTGAACTTTCCTCATAGAGATGCATTGATTCAATTCATCTCTATGAGCAGATGCTGATTGGCCAGGGCTGTGTTTGAATTGTGCTGGCTCTGCCCCTGATCTGCCTCCTTGTCAGTCTCAGCCAATCCTATGGGGAAGCACTGTGATTGGATCAGGCCACCACTTCTGATGATGTCAGAGGTCAGAGAAGTTTGCAGGCAGAGGCAGCAGCTTCAGACTTGAATACAAACAGGCCCGGACTGGCCATCGGGCACACCGGGCAAATGCCTGGTGGGCCGCGATGTCCATGGGCCGAGGCTGGCAGGGGAGGTCCCAGGATCTCCCCTGCCGGTCTATGCAGGGCCGGCACTATCCGAGCACCAGCCCTGCTGTTTTTCATGAAGGGCCGGTGGGGAGATCAAAGATCTCCCTCACCGGCCCACATGCTGTATAATGCGGCCACCGGCGGGGAGAGAGGGAGGGAGACAGCCAGGAGAGAGGACCGGATCTCGCGAGAGTAAGCTCTAGCCCCACAGGCTATGCGGGCTAGAGTTCACTCACCACGAGGACCACCAGGGAACACTGCCACCCCGCCTCCCAGTCACCAGTGTGCCGGTCCCCCCCCTCCCAGGCTAAAGGTAAGAAGGGGGGGGGGACATAATGCCTGCTTAGTTTATTTGTTTATTTACCCCCCTACACACACACAATCCGTTCTAGCATTTATACAGCACTCTCTCACACCCAGCACACAGAGCAGTCTCTCACACCATCACACACAGCACTCTCTCACACAGCACTCTCTCACCCATCACACACAGCACTCTCTCACACAGCACTCGCACACCCATCACACACAGCCCTCTCTCACACCCATCACACACAGCACTCTCTCACAGCACTCTCTCACACAGCACTCTCTCACACACAGCACTCTCTCACACAGCACTCTCTCATCCATCACACACAGCACTCTCTCACACATAACTCTCTCACCCATCACACACAGCACACTCTCTCACCCATCTCACACAGCACTCTCTCACCCATCTCACACAGCACTCTCTCATCCATCACACACAGCACTCTCTCACACAGCACTCTCTCACTCATCACATACAGCACTTTCTCACACAGCACTCTCTCACACCCATCACACCCAGCACTCTCTCACCCAGCACACACAGCACTCTCTCACACCCAGCACACAGCACTCTCTCACACACAGCACTCTCTCACACACAGCACTCTCTCACACCCATCACACACAGCACTCTCTCACACAGCACTCTCTCACACACAGCACACACATCACACACTGCACCATCACACACACATACTGCACCCCTCACATACATACAGAACCCCCCCAACACACTGCACCACACACATACACAATACTTCCAAATATATATATACATACACATATAGACACACACTAGATTCCTTGTAAGCAAACACACACTACATTACCTATACACACACACACACACACACACACACTATAGCCTGTATGCACACACTTGCTATATCCCCTATACACACATTCTCTACAGCCCCTAGCCACATATGCATCACATTACACCACAAACACAACATGACTAACCTTATTACACAATACCACATCACAATCAGCTCACTCTACACACACGCAATACACACACGCAATACCACAAGCAGGCTCCAAACACATGCACAATACTCTTTCCTGGCATTTTTGTTTCCTGTTATCCATTTATAGAGACAACAGAGACAAGTTGCAAGGAAACACAGTGCAAGCATGTTATTAAATTTGCTTGCATTGTGCAGAACAAATACAGGGCTTTTTTCTCATGCTGGAGCTCTTCAGCAGAGCTCTGCGCATGGTCTGCCCTGGAAGAGCATTGAACCAA